CTTAAATCCTTACTGTATCCTTGCACGCTCGAGCAGTGACGAACATCACTCGCATTGCCTGAACACTGAAACTGGACATCTACAACGAAAGGGCTAAACTGACTGACGGTGCATATAGTGCACGTAGCATTTCATCTTCAGGATATCAGGACACTGTTGCTCAGCAGCAGCCCACAAATCCACCTTAGAGAAAATGGAATGTCTTCACCTCAACCACGCAACAAAACCCCACCAGTGATGGATTCATTACTCCACCGTTATTTTACTTAATGAGTCCTGCCACTTTTGTTATCATACCATTGACAATGATTGTTATTGTTCAAAAAGATGCATTTGATAGCTGATATATGAATGGATATTTGTTCTATGTGCATGGCCAGTCCTCATTATTTTCAATGGGAACATTCGCCGTCTTGTTTTTAAAAACATTTAACACTTGAAACCTTGACAGAAAAAAGACAGCAAAAAGAAAAAACATCCAAACAAGCCTAGAATGCATAATCACCAAGTGCTACTTCACGTATATAGAATGATAATTATATGAGATCTAATGGAAAATCTGATTTACTAGAACCTATAGGACTGTCCTCCTAGTAGGGAGCTCTTTTAGGGGGTTTCACTATAAGAGACTGGACCACCAACTAGCTAAATCCCTTTTTAACATTGTTTCCATGGGTGGATGGCTTCATTTGAGTCAGGGTGTGAAAATGAAGATGTGAGGCTTTGTTTTCCGTAGCTGTTCACACCCATTTCTGGCATTTAAAATAAGGACTACCAGACCTGAGGGGAGTCCAGCACTTCAGACAGTCACTATAACAATGGACTCGTCTCTTAGTTTTAACATGATGTGTTGGAAATCACATAATTAGTTTATTTAGCCGTGCTGTCCTCACAGGTTACACTGCTTCCATTGTTGGCCAACTGTGCTCATAAAACATCCTTATTCACAGAAAAAACAAGCAAATACACTTAAGAAAAAATAAATATGTGTGTAATGGCTGTGTGACTGTCAGTCAGGAGTGTATCAAAACTCAACTCCCTCTGAGCTTGAGCTCCACTTGTGGTGCCAAGAAGTCAGCAAAGGTCGAACTGTACCCTGAGCGGTTCCAGGTGAGAACAGCACCAGTGCCCCTGTATGTAAGCTTCTGCCAACTTTCTACTGAACAAACAAAACGTTTGTTGTTGTGTATCCCAAGCCAGGCTTTCAGTAAGTGACAAGAGGCTCAACACGCTGTAGTGCACTGGAACAAGCCTGCAGAGTTGGGACAGAGTCTGAAAGTGTGTTAAGTTGTCTTAGCCAGGCCGCCAGGTTATGCTGACTCGTGTTCAGTCTGGCACCAGATGAAAGGCAATGATGGCAGATATTTTGTGTGAATATTTGGCCGTACTAAATGTTTGGTTCCCACAGAGCAAATAGGCCACGTTAGGGTAGTGAATTAAGGGACAGCTCAAGGAACTGCGTCAGGTCATAGGAGGATATGGGGAAGAATTTTAGTCAATTCAGATTCATGCAAATGTCAACATAATTTTCCAAATTCTTTGTAATTCTAAATTCTTCTGCCTGAAAACCCGGTGAGACTACACAATGAAGTCCCACATGTAGCAGTTAAATCTCCTGCAGAATTGCAATAATCAGGTGCAGCAAATTTGAGTTCTAACCCTTGACCCAGATAGAGTCATAGCTCACTAACCAGCAATAACCCTCTGCTACTATAAATTGCTGAATAAAAATGTGGTTTGGAGATTTCTGTAGTATAGAATAGTAACAGTAGAACTGGTTTTGTACACTGATACGGCCATTGTGGAGTTTCCTGTGCTCCTTGTTCTTGGGCAAATTTCACCAGGAGACCTGGTTTTGTCCTTCCATTGAAATACATGCATACAGTTAGGTTAATACCCCCCGAGGGAAAAAAAAGAGTAATTCAAGACAAAAAAAAGAGTTTAACACTACAATAAGTTAATTAATTAACTTATTGTCATGATGCTAAAAGTTCACTAAGCCATCTAAGGTGTCAGTTAGCAATTGTTAGCTTAGTTTAAAAGAAAGAAAGTTCAGATTCTTTCAGACTCTCAAAAGCTTCCTATGTCAGTAATAAGTGACAGGAAATGATGGAAAGAGACCGTGGATGACATGTGAGGTAATAGTGGCTGCATGTATGTACACTAACCTTAACCCCATCTCTGAGAACTTTTACCCCTTTCCAAGAACCTGTTTACTTACTGTCAGAAATTATGTTTATTACTATTAGTTATTAGTATATAGGACAGAGTCACAAAGCAGATAGCTGTTTTATGAAAGTATAGCTTGTAGCTTTCCTACAAATATAGGATTTGGGTGTGAAATCACATTGCCAATAGGAAACTGCTTTTTAACAAATCCCAGAACGTTGATTCTGTTGATCTGGACGTAGTGTTTTCAGATCAACGGCGACTTCTTCAGCCTCAGCTGACTGCAGGTTTCTCTGGTCTTGTAAACAGTATATTTGCACTGACTAACTCCTTTGTAACATAGTAGCTCTGTTTCTTTTGATTTGACTGCATTGGTTTGCAAAATGCCAAACTCTTCCACCTTTTTTTTCTCGAGTACAGACTAATGTTACCATTCTACTGCTTGGTGTGATTGAGCACCGAGGCAGAATTCATTATTAGTTGTTACTTTTCCCCAGTTATGCCAAAGTGTGTATTTTCCCTTTTGTTTTTGAAATGATGTCTGATAATAAGGGAGGAAAGTGTTTCATAGGAGTAACTGAATACTATTTAACCACATTTTAATCATCATTGACATAATGAGATAACTTTAGCGTGTGCCCCACATCCACACAACTGATCTGCCATCAGCTAACTCTGTATTCAAGGGCTCGCAGGTGAGGAGGAGAATGAAACGGGAAGTGGTGAGCCATGTTGACAGACTGTATCGAGTGCCGGTGTCAGTCCAGGAGAAACCTGCATGTGATGCTTGACTTAACTGTTTCCAAAGGGGGCCAGCAGAATGCATGTGCAGGGAACATGGTGTGAATGTGCAAAACTTGATTATTGTATCTGTTTAAAATCTTTGATCTCATGATGTTTTTTAAAGTGTCAATTATGTTAAAATGGTGATTTTTTTTTTTCCTTTGTTTTCCTTTAATTCTTAGCCTCCTTTCTTCTTAACGCTTCATCATTATAGTTTTTTGTCATGAATTTGATCAAACAACCACTGTAAACACTGTCTCCAAGCTGGTCAAATGCAACATTGTACTGTAATCTGCAAAACCGCCTCCAGAGGGCACTGCAGGGATTCTTCTAACTGTACATCTCCTGTGTGTGTCCTCTGGATTCACATCCTCAGCTGGAGTGACATCATTGGTTTTGTCTGCTTTTCTACAGTATTTAACTTGTAAGAGTTGCACCCCTCCACTCAGTCTGTACCCTCCACTCTCTTACTGACCAGGTGCCAGCATTCTGCCTCGACGTCAATGGAAAGTTGTGAATACTTCAAAAATGGGGCATGTAATGCTTTATTTATTTTTAGAAACACACAAAGCAAATTGTACATACTATATTTATTCTATATATAAGGTTGTTTATTTTTAATTTTGGCTCAGTATCACGGTCACCATGTCTTCGTTCTATTCTTTGCTGAAGGCCAGTAGAGCTTTTTTGCACTCTCTGCGATAGAATTGCAGTGAGGCTAATGACTAGCACAGTGCCTAATATCTGTCCTTACACACCTCACACACACGCTCACGCGCCCTATCTCGCACAGGGAAAGCATACTTATGAGACATAGAATGGCCTTAACCTATCAGAGCCAAGCTCTATTCAGAATAACTAATCAGGAACTAGGTTCACCACAGAGTAGTGTCTGTTTATTTAGCTCTGATTTAGAAAAACAAAAAACCAACTGTACAATATGTTGATTATGTGTAATGTAATAATGATTTTATATGACGCTGCAGTGGAGATCAGTTCTTGTTCAGTTCGGAAGCTGGTAGACCCCCCAGCAAGTTGCTTTACACGGCATCTGGGAAGTCTGGGATTAGAAATAAAGAGTCCAACACACCTAAAGAAAACACAGAGTTCTCTGGTTCTTTGTCTTCTTATGAATCCAGATGTATCCTTCCCTCTATCTTACATATCCAGCCTTTAAAACCCCCCCACCCACCTGCTGCCTTGTTAACCTCAGTGCTTCGAATTGTTGAACCCCTGAACTCACAGGGAACCACGCTGACCCCCAGACTGCCATCGCTGACTTTAAATATCAGCTTTTGACTCTTAATGTCAAAATTATTTTAAACACAGTGACAGTCTTACTGGGTCTGAGGTCTTTGTGTTCTCTGTGTGTTCCTTTTGTAAAAGCCTCCCTCTGTGAGGCAGGAGGAAGGCCTTCTTCCTGCAGGACTTTGTAAATTGCTGGAAATAAATAAACTATATTATTTCATACCATCCCTGTGTGTGTGTGTGTGTGTGTGTGTGTGTGTGTGTGTGTGTGTGTGTGTGTGTGTGTGTG